CCTGTCCTTAACTATATAATTGTTTGACTCTTGTATTATCCATTTTGTTACATAAGTTCTTAGCTTCTTTTGGTTTGCACTTGTTGGATAATTTATTACTATTATTTGTATTTTATTTTTTTTGAATGACAATTTTATGGAGATCACATTGCCTTCATATTTATCTATCTCATAAACATGTTTTGCCCATTTTTTTTTATCATGATTCTGACTCCTAAACCATTTGTTTGTCATCCATTAGTCCAAAAATATTTGTATTCATTGGCATTTTTATCTTTCTTTTGTATTTCTTTTATTGTATCATTTTTGAATATATATTTACAATTTTCATCTTTTGCCCAGGTTTCTGTTAGTCCAATTATATCTAAGTCTTTATATTCACAGAATTTCAACCAATCTATTTGTTTTATAATCTTTGTTATTCCTCTTATATTTTTAGTAGCTATTTTTAAAGTTTTTAAATTATTCTGATTTATATTCTTATCCATTATGACACTATCATTATTTTGATCCATATTTGATACACAATTGTTACTATTTATTAAACCATTATTTATATTTTTAGTTTTATTTATGTTTTTATTTTATCTTCGTTTTTAAAATTTTTTTTGGATTTTTTTTAATATTTTCTAAATTATTATTATTTAAGAAAGTATTGTAATTATTGTTTTTAGTATTAATGTTATTAATTATATTAGTATTTTGTTCGTTTTCTATTTTATATTATTATTAATATTTATATTTTTATGATTGTTCATCATAATATAATATTTTTTTAAAATTATGTTCCTTAAATTAGGAGTTTGTCCCCTCCTTGTTCATTATTTTTTTCAATATGTTTTTCCACTCCATTTAATCAAGCCAAAGTTGTTTTATTTTCTTCTAACAGAGTTTAACTATTTCATAGATATAATTTATTGTTTTCTCCATTTCTTTCCCCTCTTTTATATTATTAGTTGTTTGTGCTTTTGATTTTTCTTTTTCATTCATTTCTTCATTTTCATCATCACTGATTTCCATTCTTTCATCTATATCTTTCACCTGTTCCTTGATCTCTTTTATATCTTGCTGGATTTCTAATACATGTTCATAATATTTTCATTTGTTGTATCACATCTGAGTAACTTGTTCCCATGTTAATTCCTTCCATTAGAGATTTATATAGTTGTGGCCTTTGTCTTTTATATAATTGCCCATATTATTCAAAATCTCTTGCTTTTCTTTCACTAATTCCCCTTTATTTTTTGCCACTGGACAACTGATCACAAGATGATCATCTGCGTGACATTTGTGAAACGTTTTTGAAACTGTATCCACTAATTTAACTTGGTCTTTTCCTTCTTGACTCTCAAAAGATGCCATGGTTTTCATTTCTTCTTCCCATATAAATTTCGTGAAAAATAGCATGTTTTGGCACCCAAAATACTTATTATATTATATAATTCCCGTGCTGTAATATCAGATAGTAAATTGATGATCTTTACTGTGTATTTATCTCTTTCCTTAAGTTCAGTAAAATTACATGTGAACAACATTACTCTGCATGATTCTTCCCCAATAATTTGTGACCATTCCATTAATAGATTTCAGCCGTGTCTTCTTTCATAAATTGTACTATTGCTGATAACCACAATTCTCTTGAACTCATACTGCATGAGGTTACATTTCCAAATTTATTTTTTATCTTACTTTTAAATTCTTGTTTCTGCATACCAATTGGTATATCCCAGAACTTAATTCTTTTTTCATTATTTGTTTTTTTTTTATTTTGGTTTATTGTTGCTCTTGTTAGAATTGACCTATCATTTAATTGTATTCCTTCAATTTCAATTTTACATGCCTTTTCCATATTTTCCTTTTTTCCAGATATACTGCAACATATAGTTTTTTATCTTCCAAATTTTTTTCAGTTTTGATTGTGATAATATTAATTTCATTTTTATTTAATAAATTTGCTAATTTCCAATAGTTCATAAATTATAAAAATACTTTTATATGCAGCTACAATTGACTGACATAAAAAAATTAATTTAATATGTCATTCAATTATTCTGCATATAGAAGTATTTTTACAGCCAAATGATACTAATTAATTTAATTCTAGAGAACATAGTGTATCCACTGTAAAATTTTTAGATTTTTAGAACATAAATTAGATGAGTAATCAATGATTTTATTTGTAAAACAAATTTAGTTGTTATTCGCTTGATTCTTGAGAAATTGATCTGAAACTTTTACTTTAGATGCAATATATCATTGAGATTAAGGTTGCTTAGCACTATTTTCAATAGTATATAAGAAATAAAATTACTTTTATATATAAAAATATCAAAATTTTTCAATTATTAAATTTAATAAATTCAAGTAAATATTTATGAGGATTTTTATTAAAAAACAAATAAATAATATCACTTTCAATTATTATCATTTTTTTGAGCATGATAGTCTTTAAACAACTACTGACATTCTTTTACAACATAAAGCTACATTACATTTTATATAACATGAATGTGATTGTGGAGGAGCTTTTAATTCTTTTTGTTGAGTTTTGAATTTAAACATTTGCACCACACACAGCTACTTCTTTTCTCTCTCCATTCTGAAAAGTGATCATCATATGCTAATCTCAATGGAGAAAGTTCAAAATTTGTTGTTATGTATTGATTTTTTTTGTTGGATCAACATGAATAAATTTAAATTTTTGTGTTATTTTTTCAACATGGCCTCATGTATTTTGTTTTGAAGGTTCACCTATTCCATACTTGACTTTATTAAATCCCATATTAACATAATCTTTATGACTACTATTTTTTCCATTTTTTTAAAAAAAATAAGAGTTAATATTGAAGTGTTTAATAACCAAAAAATAATGGCATACAAGTTCTTCTGACTGGAAATTGGATATCACAATATCCATATTACCAGTCAACAATATCCCCTTCACCCATAAAATGATTGTAATCATCATTATACAAGGAATTGGTAAAGCTTTTTTACTAGTATCTCCAAATCTTACATGTACTTTGGTTACATTTGTACTTGTTTTTAATGATGATGTCATATTCTTTCAATAATATTTTCATTTCCTCTAATTTCATGAATAGTTTTTAACATAGTAATTACTTATCTCTTACTCTTGTATTTTAAAGTTCTTCTTCTTGAATATCATTATTTTCATTACTTTCAAATTCATTTTCTTTATGATTTTCATAATTATTACAAATTAAATCTGCAATATACAAAGTATCATTATTTTGTTTATTAAAAGTTGAAGGTTCCATTAAAAAAAATTTGGTTTAGTTCTAGCTAAATTATTAGTTAAATATGGTAACCAGATGTTAATGATTATTTATACAATGTGGCAAGATGATTGGCCAAAGTTAAAAATAGTTATTAGAAGATTTACATTAATTTTTATAAATTGCAGACAAAATTTGCGACAAAACAGTTTATGATAGCAAATTGAGTTAAAGTTCTTGAAATAATTATTGAAGGTTTCTACATATAAAGGTTTTTATTTGCTTAACTACTAATTAAAATGATACTAAGTAACATTAAATATAATAGTGCATTGCATCTTGTATAAAGCATTCAGATTTTTTTTTGATAAAAAGTGAGCAAAAATAAGCAGTTAAATTCACTGAATAGTTTTTTGAGCGTCCAGTGTTCAGCCGTTGATATTAAATTTAATTCGTAAGAAAAAATTCTAAAAACTTCACAAAAGATGTTCCTCATTCTTGAGTATAAGATTAATTAGTAACACATTTGATGTTTTATTAGTAAATAATAAACTTTTATATGTAGAAACTTTCGATATTATTTTTGAATCAGGTTTATCAATGTTGATCATTTTGTCTTTAAAAAAGTTTGTGCAATTTAGATCACCCGTTGTATCACAATTAGCATTTTAATTTTTGGATTTTTTATTAATTTTACCAGATCAATTGTTAATTGATTGTTCATTCGTAATTTATGAAACGTAGAATGATTTTCTACTAAAGTATTTCTATGATAGATAGAAAGGCCTTGTTCTTGACTACAAAATGATATGTGTTTTATTCCTGTAGCATTGATATTCATCAAGTTATTAAAGTTTAAAAAATCAATCCGTCTGTGAAAATTTTACGCAAAAATTTTGCAAATTTTACATAATTTTTGTGGAAATTCTCAATTTATGCAAAATTTTTACGCAAAATTTTATGTAAATTTTTCGCGTACGTTTTGACTTTAAACTGTAATAACTTAATGAATATCAATGTTACGGAAATGAAACACATATCATTTTGTAGCTAAGAACAAGGTCATTCGATCTATCATAGAAATATCTTAGTAAAAAATCGCTCCATGTTTCGTAAATATAAATTGCGAACGAAGTCAAAAAAATGTAAATTTTGACTTTCAATTGTAATAACTCAAATGAATATCGATGCTACGGAGATGAAGCACATACCATTTTGTAGCTAAGAACAAGGATGTTCTATCCATGTTAGAAATATTCTAGTAAAAAATCGCTTCATGTTTCGTAAATCGCGAACGAAGTCAAAAAATGTAAATTTTGACTTTAAACTGTAATAACTCAATGAATATTGATACTACGGAGATGAAACACATACCATTTTGTAGCTAAGAGCAAGGACATTCTATCTGTAATAAACATATCTTAGTAAAAAATCGCTTCATGTTTTATAAATCGCAAACAAATTTAAAAAAAAGTAAAATTTACGTATAAGAAATTCCTAAAATTTTCTGTTGATGTTACTATCATCATTATCGTCTTAAAAGAAATGAAAATTAATAATATTATTTTAAAAATGTAAATTTATTTAAATAAATGTGAAAAATAACATACAAAAAAAAACAGAAAATTAGAAAATTGAAATGCAATTTATCACCTGCCAGATTTTTTTCTTGATATTCAACAAAATTATGAAATTATGGCCTAAATTACCCAATCACTTTAATTGTCTGTGAAAATGTTTTATTTTTGCTTTATTTTGTTTTCTATTCGTTTTTTTTTTTTGAATTTTTTTTCATTGTATTTTTTCCCCCTAATCATAGACACTAATTCTATGCATTCTAATGTATTTTTGTATCCATATTCCTCTACCTATTCTGATTACTATATATAACTAAATATATTCTATATATATATTTGACCGGAGAAAAGTAAAAAAAAAACCAGCACACCAATAAAGTAATGAACAACACAAAAAAATTTTCTAATAAACAAAATTAATTGGTATCTAAAATCAGCCTACTTAATTATATTTATCGATAAAATAAGATAACGTATATATATATATATAAACACAGTGTACATAAAAATTTGACAATAAGTTTTAATATACTACCAATTAAGAATGAATCAAATACAAGTACGGATTGCGTGCTTTCCATGCCGTAAATTACATGAGGTTATTAAAATAATGATTTGTTATGAAAATGAACTTTGTTATTGTTGTTATTATCAGAGGATAAAAAAAGAAACAACCTGTTAAAATCGTTTCACTCTAATCTCTTTGTTCATTGATCAAATTAAAAAAAGGGTATAGTTATATATGCATCAACAAAAAAAAAGATTATTGGCTACACGAAACAATAATAACATAACATAACAGTAATGACAACAAAAGTTAAATGAGGACAAGAAGGACTGAAGTATGTTTAATTTATGTATTTATTTATATAAATAGGTCTAATGGAAAAAAAAACGATCTAGAACTTAATAGAGCGAATGAATATGGAATTAATGCTTTAAAAAAAAACGGGAGTGAATTTATTAAGTTTAATGACATTTTTACATTGAAACTCCTTCATTTCCAGCTGCTTATTATGCACAATCTCGTCATTTAATTCATTTCTAGCTGCATGTTTATTTATTACGTGATCTAATAAATTAAATCATGTAAAATAGTCGAATGAAAATCGAATAAGAAATGTAAAATTGAATAAGAATAACGGATTAGTAGTTGAGGTAATATATTTTAATTTTAATTTTATTTAATTTCGTATAATTTAATTTGATTTTATTTATTTTTAATTTGATTTTATTTGATTTTTTTTTTTTTTTTGATTTTATTAAGTCGCTTTACACGCATGTACAAAAAAAAATTATATTGGTTGAAATAATTTCGTGATTTTCGATAAAAAAAAAAGAATACGTTAATTTTGAACAGTGATTGCAAGTTACACGAACGAAGTTTTTCCGGAATTTTTTTTTCAAATTACATAACATTCTAGATTTTCATTCTATTACTTTTCTCACTTTTTTACATTTTTAGTAAAGATTCATCTAGATTCAAAAATAAGAAGATCATTTGAAATCACAAAAAAAGATGAGATGAACGAAAATCCCAAATCAAGTATGCTTATCTTTTAAACCACAATAAAAATCAAACAAAATGCTTATCTTCATCCTCAAGAACAAATGCATTATCGTGAAAATTACCAATTGTTATCATAACAAATGCAAATCATGATACCTCAATGAATTAGCTAAATCAGTGTTGAAAGTTACTTCCGAAAGTGTATAAAATATGTAATTCTGCATGTACCAGTAGTAAAAAAATACACATTGGTAAAAAAATGTTAATATATGTGGTAGCTATAATGTATGTAGTGTACAAATTTGAAAAAATGTAAATGTCCGAATATTTGTTTAATAAATATGATAATTCTTAAAAAGTTCACATATATGTAAAAAGATAGATTTATATTAAATTTTTATTTACATATTTTTATTATTTTTTTTTTTTGTCAATCAATGAAAGGATAATATTTTTTTGGTCTAGTTATCATTATCACTCTAAATTTTATTCATTATATCAACTCCCAAATATTCTCAGTTATTCTTTAATCACTCACATTTAACGCAAGCACTCAAAACAAAAAAAAAAGCCTAGCATTAATGACATTTTTTGATTGTTTTTTTCCCTTTGAAAGTGCAAATAAGTAATTAATTAATGAATTTCGAATCTAAAAAAACCGAGTCTAATTTGATAAGGAAGAAATTTGCATACACATACACATACTAATTAATTTGAATGTTTTTAAAGTTTTTTTTTTTTTTTTTTTTCTCAAAAAAAAAAAAAGAAATACGCACGGCACGTACAAAAATAAGAAAGTTTCAAAATATTTATGCTACTAAACAACCTTAATTTCAGGTCTGATTCCAAAAACAGTTGTTTTTTTTTAGAAATAAAAGAAAATTTTGAGATAAACTTTTGATTCGCATAGACAAAGCGTATCAAATTTTATAACGTAACATCTTCCGAAAAAAAAAAATATGAAGTATTTTTTTTTCTATGTATTCAGCTTATCTTTACTAAATTGCGCATGCAAATTATTGTTATTATTACTTTTTTATTACTAGCCATTATGATTACGACTATTTCTTATATTTGATGACCTAGATATATCAGTGAATGTATGTATATGTATGTAGGCAGATTCGATCATTTTTTTTTGAAAGTCACTGTCACTTCGGTCGCGAATCTCAAAACAAAGAAATATTATACTGTACTATTATCACTATTACGATTATGAAGGATAATAAAGGTGTAAACAAATAGATATATCATATCAAGTATAATAAGTATAATTTTTGATATTGTCAAGTATAATAATAATTAATTTAAGAATTCTCCGCGTGATAATTGTCAAAGAATGAATTACCTTAATCAACGCGTTATTTATTTATTTATTTATTTATTTATTTATTTATTAAAAAAAGTTCATTTATGGTCGTACAGAAATAAAAGGTAGAAAACGCATTCATTCCAAAATTAACAACAAATACAATTAATATATATGGTAGTCTGTGTAGTAGTGGTGGATTTGTGGTGATAGTGGTAGCAGTGGATTTGTTTAAAGTAATAAAAATTTTGAAAGTCGGTGTAAATTTTCCACTATAAACAAAACGGGATGAATTAATCTTTATTTCTTTACAACAAGAATATATATTCTACAATACGAGAAAAACATGATTATATTGTAATTATTTTATTCTTATTTAATGCAGTCTGATGAAAAAAAATTATTATTGGCTATTTTTTTATTTATTTACTTTGATTTTACAAGAATTCTATATTTATTCGCCTTGAGAATTTTTGCTTATTAATGATCCGTTGCAATTCGTACTTACTTTGGTTTAAATGAACAATCTACTCATTCTTTAAATGCGCCCCCAAGCTATATATGACAAACTATAAACATAAAAAAGAGAGAAAATCGCGAAGCTCGCGCAAATAAAGAAAGAAGGATGGCTCTAGATTCCTGAAAATATGTCAAACAATAAAAAATAAAAATAGCTTTGTAATTTGTCAAATTAATTTCATTTATTTTTATTTTTATTTTATTAATTTTTGTTTATTTTTTTTTATTTATTTAAATTTAATTTGCTTATTTTGTGATTGTATTTGAAACTTGTTATGGTTGTTGTCGCAATTTCTTTGAAAACAGTTTGTTGGCACAATGAATGACCTTGTTAGCTACTGACTATTGTTTTTCAACTTTAAAAAATATGAAACAAAAGGGTGGGTGGAATAGTAACACTCTAAAAATGTTGATTACGAGATTAACAAATTACGTATCTAAAATGGAAATACACATTTGATTAATTAATAAATTTTAATTTATTTATTTTTATTTATTTATATTTGATAATTATTTTAAAATAATCAGTGTGTAGATCGAACTAAATTTTAATTATTCATCATTTATATTTTTTTTGTATGATAGCAAAATAAGCAAAGTAAGTAAGTAAAGCAAGCAGGCAAACAAACAAGAACAAAACCTTAATTTAATAAATCTTAAAATTTTTAATTCGACTATTATCTATTATTATCATTATTTATTATTGTCTAATATTAGTATTAGTTTGTTAATATTGGTGATACTATTTTTTTTACAATTTTGCAAAACACGTGCCCAATATACTAATTATGTTCTTAGTGTGAAACCAATGCAGCGTGAATTTGAAGTATGGTTATTATTGTTATTTTTATTATTACATCATTACCAAAATCACAAAAAGGTCATGTTCAATCAGGTCCTACTATTTTTGGTGTAATTATTTCTTTTTTTTTTTCCTTCCGTTGCATGACTTGATCTAATAATAATATACAGTAAGAGTATAATTAATTTAAACGATAATAATAATTGATAATAATTATGGCTTTTCAATATGCATTCAGGATGAGTTTGGTAATAATTTATTTGAACTATTAAATGTTATAATTATTCTATCATCTGTTTGTATAAATTGTTATTATTACTTATTCATATCTAAACAATAAACAATCAAATCACGTAATTTTTTTTTTAAAAAAAAAAAAAAATTGTATCGCTAACAAAATTGAATTAATTATCAAAATTATCATTATTATTATAACTTTCTTTCTTTTTAAAAAAATAATAATATTATTATTATTATTACTACGTGATTAATTAAAGTAACTAAATTTAGAGTTAATTTAAATTAGTTTAATAAATATTAATTTCACCTTCTCTATTTTACGTTTAATTCATTTAAGTCAATAAAGAACCATTAATTTATTATTAACTTATTATTGTTATTATTATATCACCAAAAATATGAAACATAAGATAAATAATAATAAAAAAAGTATACAAATTCGAGAATTAGAAAATGAATTCAAATTTGGAAAATAATGAAAATAATTGTAATGGAAAGAAATTTATTCGATCCGAAGAGAAGAGATTATGATAATAAGACAAAAATCGATTAGAAATTAAGAAGTACAAGTAAAATGGGGAATTTATTTTTGAATATTATTTAATCAATTCAAATCTAACTTTCACATGGCATTTTTTCATACTTTCATAAAGCCCATTACTTACTTCTTTAGTTTATTGATACTAATTTTTTTGTTTGCCGTTTTCACGTTTGTAAAACTTTCATGATTAAATAAAAAAAAAATCACAAATCACTAATCACAGTCACAATCACAAAATTACGAATTATGATTTTTACGAATTTCAATTTATTATTTTAATTACTCATTCCCTTTTAGAGTAACAATCAAAAGATTCGGACTTTTATTCTATTTATTTTTATTGCTTTGTTTCAAAAAATGGTCAAAATGTATAGTCACAAAAGCATAACAAAATCAAAAACAAGAACAAGCAATGATAAGCAAAATTAAGCAATAATGATTTCATCATCTACAAATTTGGGTTAGATAAAACCCGAATATAAAAACAAATAAAATATATTAATTGAATAAATAAAAATAGATCATTAGATTAAACAAGTTAATTGAAATAAAATAAAGAAAAAAGTCAATAATTTCTTTATTTTAAAAACAAAAACAAAAAAAATAAAAAAAAGTGATCAGTGCAAAAAGCAGGGTTGAAAACAAAGAAAGCAAGCAAAAGAGTTTAAACAAGTGAACGGAATTCCCGTAAGGAAACAACAATCAGGCAGTAAAATAACCTTATTTTTTTACCAGTTTAGGAATAAGAGAATGAATTAATGAATTGTACAATAAAAAAAAAAAAATTTTTTTTTTTTAATAAAATCTTTTAATGAATTTTTTTTTTTTTTTATACCGTCTACGTCTAATTGATATTATTTATTATTTATTTATTTATTTTATTTATTTATAATATTATAAATTTTTATTTTCACGAGGAAGTTTAATACAAATAAAGAAAACAAAAACAATGAAAAAGAAAATGACGAAGAGAAGATGGAGATCTTTTCTTTTTATTTCTTTTCTTTTTGATTTCCTATGACACAAATTTTCACTTTTTACTTTGTTTTATTTTTTGGTTTCGTTTATTGCTTGAAAATATTAATTAATTTTAAACGAATAAAGGAATATTAAATTTGCGAAAAAAAAAGGGTGCAATGAATAGTTACGTATGTACATTTAACGTAACAGTTTAACCAATTTAACTTTAAAAACAAAAAACAAAGTAGTGACAATAAATTAGACTAACCAAATTTGATTAGATACCCGGTTTTTGGGTTACAGAGCCACCTGGTAATGAAATCATGTTTGCATTTATTATTAATTTTTATTATTAATATTTTTTATGATTATTATTACTATTATTATTATTATTATTATTATATTATTATTATTATTATTATCAATCAAAACTGCAAGCATGACAAACAATAAGTATAAATAAAACATCATAACAAAGACACACAATCAATTTTAGTATTGCATTGTCACATCGTCAATCGTTTTTTCTCTCGTTACTTAATTCATGATATTATAAATAACTTTCAAATGATAATAAATAATAATCATGTCTCTATTGAATTGTTGAATTAAAGATATAATTGACTTCTGATTTTATTGAGATAACAACTTATTCAGAAATTATTTGTGTCATGGCCATATTTATTTATCATATATACACATATATAAATTTCTTTAAACAAAATGCTTATCTTTAATTGGGTTCTTTTATTGCTTATTATAATTAGGATAATCGTTGTTGCCACTTTTATTTATTTACAGCCGATGATAAATTTAATCCGCTTTGCATGGCATGTGATGGGGCTAAAAATGTACAGCAGAAAGCAATGTGACTTCAAAATTTGTCGATTAACAATAAAATTTACCAAAAAAATAAAAAATCACAAGAAAAAAATTCATTGACATTACATTTTTTTTTTCAGCATTATTAGAATTATCGTAATTGCAATATGCGATTTATTTTTCAGCATTATAATATAAACATGTCAATATAATCAACATGACATGTCATATTATTAATATGGTTAACCATGTTATTATGACAGCAGCCGTATCAATGTGATTTTTGGTGTAAACAGCTTAGTCACATCAATAGTTTCATTCACTATAATAATATTGAATATGATTGGTCAAATTTTATTTTATAATTAATGTTAAATTTTTATTTTTTTTATATTAATGCTGAAATTTTTAAAAATATATAATTTGAATTGTATTTTTTTTCAATAAAAAAATATATAAAACTTTAAAGAATTTGACGTCTTTAGACTGTTCGCACCATATCCAATCTTATAATCCAATAACGAAGAATGCTGCGAAATTTAAAAATTTATAATGGAGATTTTTAAAAATCATTTCATTATTAAATGTTTGAACACTCGCAAAAATGTTTGCATGTGGTATTTATATCTTATTATTTATATTAGCAAAATGTATTGTAAGTATATAAAATATAATACCTGGTAAAATAGATCTAGGACATTAATCTCACCATTCGATATCTATGACATCTTGTGTTTCTATAAATATATTCATACATGAAATAATATTCACGATATTCGCGAGTGCTCAAAATATTGGATTTATATATTAATTAAAGTTAGATCCTTAATGTCTAGAACTTAGTAGAATATATTAATTAAGTTATATCTTCAAAAGCGATTTCAAATAATGTTATTGGTCTCGATTTTATTGCTGTAAAGTGTTACAAATAAATACCAAGGTTCTAGATTATGACATGACAAAAACGAATAAGTAATAAACTTTTATGCCCCAGATTCTGTGTATTTTACATCAAATATTCAATGTTCTAGACATTAAAAGATCCAACTTAATTAATATATATATATCCAATGTTTTGGAGATCGTGAATATTATATCATGTGTTAATATATTTATAGAAACACGATGTCATATATATCGAATAGATGAGATATTCTAATGTCATGGATCATGACAAAACAAATAAGCAATAAACTTTATATATTTAATGCCCCAGATTCTGTATATTTTGCATCTATTTTACTTCAAATATCCAATGTTTAGTCAGGATCCAACTTAATTAATATATATATATCCAACGTTTCAGATTTTCCGAGAAAAAAAACGAATAAGACATCCGTTTTTTCGAATATCTCAATGTTAATTATCGAAATTAATTAACATATATATATCCAATGTTTTTAATAATCACGCGTATCTGAATATTATGAATATACTTATATAAATATCGATATCTAAACAAATTAAGATAATTTATATATTTAAGAATATTGAAACGTTCTTATCTAGAATATCATCGCATCGCATTTAAACCAATTAGGTAATTAGAAATTTCTAACTTTATTAATGTCTAGGCATATTTTAAGAGTATCAAGAATATTTCACGAATACATGTTGTGAATAAAGACATATTAAAAAAAAAGATCAGTTCTAAAGAGCTACGCAGTAATATGTACATATTATATTTGTACATTATTTATACATTTGAGAATATTTTATTTAAATTATGCATAAAATTCTATAAACGCGAAAAAAAAAACGAAGCAAATTAAATAGTAAAGAAAAAAAAATTTTTTTTTTTATTGTTGAATCTACAAAAGAACATACCAAAACGAAAACAAAGAGACAATAAAACTTGATTGATGTATTATTTAAGGTATCTTCTAGCCACATTTCACCTTTTCTTATTATTCACGAATACATAAACGTACATACACAACAAACAAACATATTCACATACGCACACATATACGTACTCTCTCACGCTAATTTAGCATTCACTTTCACTCAAACATTCAAACACATACTCATTCATTCATTCATTCATTCATTTATTTACTCACGCAATAAAACATTCTCATTTTCATTCACTAATTTAATCATATACTTTACGCACACACACACACACATTCAATGATTTACCCTTACACATTCATTGTTCATTCGCACGCGTACCCGTTAATTTCATGGATAAAATGATGATATTCCATTTGGGAAAAGTAAAAGTAAACAAACCTGCTAAATCGATTAGTATCATACAATAAGGGATTCCTTAATTTGGAAATTACTTTATGGAGAAAAATGAATGATCTTATTTAATTGAAATTTATTGTTCTTATTATTCTTTATAATTAAATTATTTTATATTCTACATTTCACATTCTATATTCTACATTCTATATTCATATATTCGCTATTACTCTATGGTATGAGTGCATAAAAAATTTATACAGATACAGATAACTCGTTCATCCTTCGATTTTTTTTCTCATCCTTCTTATTTTCCCAACTGTTGACTTTAATCTTATCTCCTTGTTTGATGTCCCTAATCTTAACTCATTTTCTCAATTATTGTTGTTATTGTTTTTGACGTCGTTTTGTTGTTATTATTAATTGTTTTGATGTCATCATTGATCATTATTGATTGATTCTTTTTCATTATTTAATTGATTTTTATTTGCTGTTCTCATTTGTTATATTCTTTTGATGTTTTTTTTTTTTTATTTTGATATTTTTATTAATTTTATTTTGTTTTCATTATGATTTCTTTTAATGTTCGAATTTTCTTTTTTTTTTTTTATTTCATTATTTCATTCAATTTTATATATATTCCTTGCAATTATTAAATAATTATTTTTATTTTTTACTGTAATACATCGCTCAAATAATAAATAAATAAATAATAAATATTACTAACTTTATATATTTTTTCAATTGTTTAGAATACGTTTTATTTTTTACTGTAATGCACGCGCCGATAATGTGTCAATACTAAAAAAAAATAAATAAATAAATGAATAAGAGGAAGGAAAAATAAAATAAATCAACTTATTTATATTTATTAGACAAAAAAAAAAAAATTTTTTTTAAAAAAAAGAATAATTTAACCGTTTAATTGAATATTTCAAAAAAAAAAAAATTCTTAGAAATCACAACAATATAAAAAAAAATATTATATTTTTTTTTTCAGCGATAAACCCTGAGTGACGAAAAATTACTTACATATATACTCACACAACGTATATTTTTGATAGAAGCTTATGTGAATGTTATGTTATGTAATTATGTATTCATATGGCATAATAAAAAAAGGATATATAATAAACAAAATCAAATTTAGAACAAATGAAATATTTTGAATGTGCTCCACGTTGTCGTCGTATATCACAATCACACTATAAATAATTGATCTACATGTATGTGATATGCCGTTTTTTTATACATCGTACTGTGCATAAATTATTGTAATTTATTACATAGAAGCGTAGATTTAAACTTTCATTTTTTTTTTACATATATTTAAGCTTTACTCAACTCCCTATTATCTAATATAATATAATATAAAATTAATGTATGTATCGTTGCTGTGTAATAGAATTAATTTATATATACGAATAATGTTTGAGTTATTTATATATATACATTTGTTCGATAAATAATAATCTCAGTTGAACGCGCATTGAAATAATGACAAATAAGAAATAATAATAATAAATATTAATAATAAATAATAATAATAAATAATATTGATAATAATTAAAATTATTTAAATGTCAATTATTATATAACTGTCGATTATTTTTATTACAAATTATTTATGATTCTTTTTATTTTCCGCCATACATCAAAAAAAAAGTAGTCCCTTTAAAAAAATAAATTAAAAACAAATAAACCAAAAAACGATTTAAAGTACAATAAATAAATTTAATCAAGTAAATTAAGGTTTAAATCAAGTTTGTAAGGTATAAAAAGAGTTCTCACGAATTATTTCCACTTTAAATTTTATCGTTCCTTTTTTTTCAAATTTTTTAATTAAAAAACACGAAGTAACTTGAAAATTTATTTTCTTTTTATTTTTTTTTCTTTTATTTTTCTTGATATTCCCCTCGAATCTTTTACACAGTGTCCAAAAAAAAAATCCAACAATAAAAAGGTTTCTTCTGAATTTAAAATAATCAAAGAATTATAATAATAATTCCAACCATTTTAAGTTAGTCGTAAGTTAATAAAGTGATGAATAATATATTTTCACGGCAACGACATGACAATATTAGTTTGTCAAAGTTACATCCCCAATCTTCTACTTCTCCTACTCCTCCTTATTCTTGTTCCTTAATTATTTCTAATCCTTCTATGACCATGACTCGCCAAGAACATTTAGAAATAAATTCACGATCTTTTTCGACATATTCCTCTCCATCCTCTTCTCCATCACTATCTTCATCTTCTTCTGTATCCTCTTTATCATCATCATTTTCACCGTTATCATCCACATTTTCGGATCCTATTTATTCGGAAATATATATTGATCGACCTGATCGAAATATTCAAAATTTAAAAAATCAAAAATCGAAACATCATGAAGTTATCAATAATAATAATAATAATAATAATAATAATAATAATAATTATAATAATAATGATAATGATGATGATAATAATAATAATAATAATTATAATAATTATAATAATAATAAAATGAGGATGGCTTCTCCAGTATCACCCCTTCCAAATCCCATTCCTCCGCATCAATCTTCCAATTTTGTTAAAACTTATTCGAAATCTTATAAGATTCCATCTTGTACACCTCGTAATTCTTGTAATTTATCATCAACATTACCATCACCACCATCTTCAACGGCATTGCAATGTTTGGCACTTGATTCAATTACAATTGAAACTCTCGATAATATAATAAATTCAGTTATAACACCGGAGGAACGTCTCAAATACGAAAAAAAACTTTTCATTCCTTTACAAGATTTAATCTTCCCTAGTAATCGACCTAAACGAAATGCATCAAGTGCCACGAGATACCAAAATAGTTTCATAATTTTTCGTAAAGATTATCAAGCCCGAGTGACAGCTGAATTAGGACCGGAAATTGGATCGAGACTTAAAGAAATTTCACAAAAGGCTAGTGTAGAATGGAGAAATTTATCATCCGAAGATAAATATATGTACGATCGAATTTCCGCTTGTACCAAGAAGTTAAATGAAAAGATATGGCCAAATTATTTACATAAACCATCAAGAAAATTTAGTGGAAATTATGGTTATTCTGATAATCGAATGGTCGAAGCTTATTCTTCCACTTTTTATATGCCTGATTCTAATAATAATAAAAATAATAATCATAATAATAACAATAATCATAATAGTAGTAGTAGTAATAATAATAGCAGCAATAATCATAATTATAATCAAGATCATCACGATAATAGCCATGATTATAATCATAATTGCGATGCTAGTCATCAACAGCGACAACAAAATGAGCAACAACAAAATTCGCAGCAACAACAAAATGCGCGACAACAACAACAACATCAACAACAATCGCAACATCATTATTTATCAAGTCAACGAGATTTATTAAATGAATATAATAATCATCATCATCGTCATCATCATCAGAATAATAATTATAATAATAATTATTATTATCAAGATCAACAAAAGAATAATAATTATTATCATCAACAACGACAGCACCAAAATTATCAAAATTATCATCAAAACTATCAAAATTGTCAAGAGAATAATTTATTACCTTTATCACCACCTTTATCTCCTACAAAGTATAGACATTATAATCCCAACGGTAATAATCAGTGCAATATCCCGAGCAATATCAAGTCACGCGAAAATTTAATAAATAATACTTATCATTCAAATATGGTTTCGACGACGAATCAATCATCATCACCATCATCATCGCCAATTAATAATTATTCTTCCATAAAAAATATTATTAATCATGACAATAATAACAGATATTCTCCGTATCCAATATTATCATCAAATAGGAATGATCAAAATCCACGACACCAACAACAACAACAACAACAACAACAACAGCAGCATTGTAATGATCATCATCATCATAATAATAATTATAATCATGATTATAATAATAATCACTATAAGAATAGTAAAGATATTAAGCCCATATTTAACAATAATAATCATGACTTTAATAATAAGTGTGAAGGAGGAGATGAAGGAAATAATAACTTCATTGACATAAATAATGATATAAATAGTAATTTTAATAAAGATCTAAATATATTTAATAATAATGATAATAACAAAAATCCTAACAATCATGATAATAATTATTCCTTTAAGCCACTGGACACAAAATTGCCTCAATTAAATAATTTGTCTTCTTATGATAAGTCACTTCGGGATTCAATTGATAAAAATACCAGAATTTAAATCTTTATTATAATATTTTTTTTTTTTTTGATTTTTTATTATTATTATTATTTTATTATTATTATAATTATTTTTATTATAATTATTTATTACGATTATCTTCATTAATTTTATTTTAATATTATTTTTATTATTACGAATGGGGATTTTAAATATTATCTCACTTACTTTTCGTTGAACAAGGAAATTTATTATAAGACTGAGAATAATAACCTTACCACAATACAATTCTACAAAAGAATCAAGAAAATTGGCATTATCGGTTTTTATTATTATTTTTTTTTTAATCAGCAACATTATTTTTTTTATTACAAAAATCATCATTATGACTATTAAATTGCAAATTATTATTATTATATTAAGATTAAAAAACGCGAAAAAAAACTCTAAAGAAAAAAACTTTCAAAAAAAAATTGTTAAAAATATATAAAATATATGTAAGACAGACTCCAAATGTTTTTCGTCTGTGTTTTCACTATAATTACTTAAATAAGATCATCCTTAAAATATTTCATCTAAGAATTAAATAACTTTTTTTAAAAAAAAACTATATTAAAAATTATATATGTGTTGTGTGTATATATACTGTATATGCAGTTTTTTATTATTTTTTTTGACTTTAACTTTTATCTCACTCTCCTTTTTTTTTGAATATAAATATATCATCTTGTGATTTTATCTCTCTATGTTTTTTTTCGGCGTTATTTAAAAATAAATAAATTTATTAAAGATTGATAATTGAAAGAATTTCTTTATTATTTATTATTTATTATTTATCATCATGATTATATGCACGCACGTTTAGTTTGTATTTCCATCTTTGGGCATATTGTTAATTTTTTTCAATAGACTGGAAAGGTCTTATCTTTTTTCATATACAGTAATGGCATTATTATCATTATTATATATAGAATTGATCGCTACACCATTCAAAAATTAAGGGGATGAGAGAGTCTATCACAGATTAATCAATATTGTAATAATGAGGGCCAGGTTAGAGGTAGGATTTAAGTAGATATTGTGCAGTATGTAAAACTGCCTCCCGGCATTTTTTATTAATGCATCAAGATATGTTTAGACATCTGTTTCGTGTATTTTTCGTGTTTTTCGCATTTTCTTCGTCGGGCTAACTGTATAAACAAAAATTCATATTTTGATTGGCCATAGTCACTGCTTTAGACAATCAAACTATCTATTTATAACTTAATAAAAGTAATGAAGAGTTGAATCCTTTATCATTTTTATCAAAATATAACATTTATGATATTCAATCATTTATTTTTCAAACAAAAAGAGAAATATTTAAAGACTATATAATATTATTTTCTATAAAAATTGACAATGTTAAAACTAAAAATATAGAATTAATGCATTTTTTGCAATATAAAATGAATTTTAAGAATATTACTGTATTATGACATTTAATAAAGTATAGATAGTATTTTAAAGAAAATAAATTTAGATAATATTCAAATTATTTTATTTGTTTAAAGATGTGATAAAAATAAGCTATGCTTATATTATTTTCGAAATTTATTGAATATTTTAAAAATAAAAATAAAAAAATCCGCAAATGATTATCAATCGTTTTTACATATAAATAATACTAAGTAACACTAAAGCTGGGAACATAGTACATCGTATGTAAGCTATTTAGTAAAAATTGAGCAATTAAATTCCAGAGAATAATTTTCAAATATATAGAGTTCAACCAATGATATTAAATTCAATTCGTAAGCAAATTCTAAAAACTTTACAAAGATGTGGAGCATCTTTGCCTATTAATATTAAGTTTGAGGTTATTATTAAATAATAAATTTAATATGAGACAACGATTGATAGTTATTTTCGAGTTTTTTTTTAATATCAATGATCGACAATACCGCTAAGTCATTATTATCATCGATCATTTCACCATTAATATTAAAAAAAAAAATCCAAAAATCGTTGTTACATGTAAACCTTATTATTAACTAATAAAACCTTGACTATAGTATTAATTGAACTTATAGCCAAAGACATGCAGCATTTTTCTAAAGTGATTAATAACATTACAACAACAACATTACAAGGTGATTACGTGAACTGAATCATCAACGCATAGAATAACAATTAATTTAAAAATTTTCAACCATTTAAAGTCTAGCATGACAAACTGGCTGATTATTATATTTATTTGTTAAGATTAATCAAATAGAATGGGTCTTTCGTGCAGTTTTGCCTGTGGCTTTCTATATGGGAAAAAATCAATGCTGCAGAAGATAATCATCGCCTTTTGTCTCGCATGAAAACTTACTTTGGCATAAGACAATCATCGATCTTTTGCCTTGCATAAAACTTACTTGAATAACAACAATATCATTCTCCATTAGCACTGTAGGAGTTCTGTGAACCATTGATAAGATACCATGTTTTATATTGAAATGAATTCTTCATTTAATACAATTTTTGGAAGCCAAAGTAACTCGATTTTCTAGGAAATAATGCTCTGAGAAGTTTAGAAAGGAAGATTGATAAATAAAGTGGTTCTCTAAACGATAAAAATGATTTTGTCTTACAACTTCGAGAATAGGTGAGATCTGCGATACGAATTACTTATTAAATAACTAATATAAACATTTATATGTAAGATGATTCAATTAATCCAAATAAAATTAAATCCGCATTATTATTTTGGTAACTCAATTCTGCATATGGAATTTTCTTATAATGATGTTCAGTAAATAATAAATCATTTGACCCAACCAAAGTAATTTTCAAAGAAAAGTAAATATTCTGATATAATTTTAAACGTACTTTTACCTTACTTACTATAAAGTGAATAAAAATGGTATTTTATGGCATATGTCCAGAATGCAATCAAGCACGTACAAGCTGGGATTGGTGCAAACCGTGCAACTCGACACGTAAAAATAATTTTGATAAACGGACGAGTGGAAATGATGCAATCGATAAATTTATTCATGATCCTCAACTAAAGGCAGATATTGAATCGAAAGTAATAGAATGGATACCTTATGGTAGATTTCAAGGTATCAAAGAAATAGCCAATGGTGGTTTTTGTACTATTTATTATGCCAAGTGGATTAATGGACCAATTTATCAATGGAAAATTAAAAACCAACAATGTGAAAGAGATGGTCAACGTGAAGTGGTATTAAAAAAGGTTGATAGTATTGGAGATATGAATGAATACTTCTTAAATGAGGTAAAATTCTAATTTATCATGAAATTTTTATTTGAAAACGTATAATATATATTATTTAGATAGAATTACAAAGGATCCATAAACCCATAAGTACATGATGGTTTTGGATTATCTAGAAAGTGGGAAATCTTAGCAATTGGTTAAATAAGAATTTTAATAATATTAATTGGAGAAAGAAACTATTTCATTTAAGAGAATTAGCAAGAAGTTTTGACGAAATTCATGAATTAAATAGTACATCACGTTTTCCACCCTGAAATATTTTATCATATGACTTTAGTGATGGTTTATATATTTCAGATTTTGGCTTAAGTAAATTAATTGGAAAAATGTAGAAAATCCTCGAAAGAGAAATGTTTTGGAGTATTGCCAGATATAGCTCCTGAAGTATTAGGAGAGGAAGAATATATGCCGTCATATCCTGATGTGGCACATGATAATGATTTATATGTAACGGATTAAGACCAAAAATTTCCTAAATTAATTGCACAAATGATTATGCGATGTTAGTGCTCAAATCGTCTGCAGGCCTACTTTAAAGAATTGGATGAAGAATTATATAAATACAGAGATGATTATGAAAAAAATGAGTATAAAAATAATAATGAAATTATAATTCAAATTAAAGAAGCTGAAGAATTTACTAAAAATCTAACCACAAACGATGCAACAACCACAACTCCACTTAAATATAAAATGCATCCGCAAGCAATTTATACTAGTAAACTCCTAAATTTTTCAAATCTTCCAAAATCTGTAAATGAGCCAAATTTCAAAAAGATCTTTCACTAGTAAGTATCAATTATTTATTATATTTTATTTATTTTCATTTTATAATTAATTATTTTATTTTCATTTTTTTTATTCAGATGACGATATTGATGCTTTAAATACTATTAATATTATTACAAAAGACTCAATTTGGAGTCAAAAGACAATTTATATTTATAGGTCTTAAGCTAATTTAATTCATACAAAATATGCTCTAAACCTAATATTAAGTTTTATTAATTTATCTAATAATTAAACTAACTATCAAAAATATTTTATCAATAGAAGCCTTAAAATAAAATAATGATTACTGAATTTATCTAATTTATTGAATAAAGTTAAAAAAATAACTTTTTTATTACGATATTACTTTAAAAATTATACAAATTAACATATATATTATACAGTAAATTAGAATTCAAAGAATTTTATTTATTTATTAAATAAATTTATATTAATTATTATTATAATTAATTATTGTACATATGAGAGCATTTGGCTTTAGGGTTTCATCTAATCAACCTCAATTCTGATTGGCCTATTTTTTAAAGATAAATTAGAAAAACTCAAAACTCTATTATGTTTACTACCTTTTATTTTCTAACAAAAAACGGTTAATATGAATTTAACATACATTCTCTATTTTATGACGGGTTATTATGTAAATAGAAGCTTTAAACCCAAAAATATTCCGACTATACAACTATCTAACCCATCGTCCCAACACCTAACCATTGTTCAAAACTCCAACTTGTGTTAATTCATTTTATTTCGTATTTTGTTGCACAATAATGTAGTTTTATTATCTTTTCATTTAGGTTTATTATTAAAGAACAACTTTAATTAATAGAAATAATATATTATATTAAGAAACATGCTGCTTTATAACAAAGTTTGAATAAATTATTAGTTGATAAGTCATGTGTGAATAATTTTTTCTTTAAATTTAAATATGAATAAAACTATATTTTATTCATTGAAGAATAATAACTTGATATTATTATTATTATTGTAGTTGTTGTTTATATTATTATTATTATATCTTCGATACAATATGCTAATCAAGCCAAAATAAGCTATAAAATTTAGTAAAAATATTAATGTTAAAATAAGCTTATATCTTTGATATATATATATATTTTGTCGAAATATTTTTAATATCTTCAATATTTAAGTTAAAAATATAACAAGAAAACATATTACAATTATTGTTATTCAAAACGAAAATAATTAATTAAAATTCCAATACCTATAAACTATTCAACATCTTTTCATGATTGATTGTCTCGCCAACTACTAAAAATTAAATTAAATCAAGACTTCAATAAAATTATTTTTTTTTATTTGTTGCTTATTCTTTTGATAAATTTTCGTCAAAAAAAAAAAAAGAATAAATAAAATAAAGTAAAAAATTATAAATTGGGTCATTTATTTAACACTTACCATCCATCTTTTTCATCATTGATTTTTAAAGAAAATTCATAATTATTAATACTGTATAAATAAATAATTTTTTTTTTATTTAAGAAAATAATAAAAATAAGAAGAAATCATAAATAAATTTATTTACTGCTGTTAAAGATTAAATAGTCACACCATATATATTTAATATTTATATCTCAGTTTATTATTAATAACTTATTTAGTATTTTATTTTATATATTATTATTTTAACCAATAGTAGTGTTAAATAATATAGTAAGTTGAGTACAAGTCATTTACATGATAATGTTATACGAACTATATTAATTATTATTACTTAA